AATGAAATATTCTGCGTGTAAACTCAAAATTTTTTTCCAACTTTTTAACGACACATTCTCCTAAAAATCACTGTTCAAAACATTATTTTGGCCAATTAATGACCATCAAGCAGTGGCTAATAAATATAAACATATTTAAGAAAAATAGAAACATAGAAAAACTTTGAATCCGGAAAAAAAAAAATTAAATAGCTTCAAGGGAGTGTTTTCTTGATCAAAATATTTACATATATTATTAAAGAATAAATAAATCTTTAACTATGATAAATTATTGCATTGTTTAATAAAATATATGTATTATAATTTTAGTAAGATCTAGATTTAGGTTTTCAACTACTAAATCCCACGTGACTATAATTTCATCTACCAAAAAGAATTGTAAATAAAGTGGGCGGGACCCGTGACGTCGTTTTGGATGTAAATAAAGTGGCACACACTCCATAATCGTATTTTTCAATAGTCATTTTCAATCTAAATAAAAACGAGCAGGTTATTTTATCGTATAGTGTCTAGAGATTGTACATGAAAAAGAAAGTTGTGGCCATCCCTCCACAAAAATCACAATTTATTCAATAAGCTGGGGTCTCTAGTGTCTTTGTCCTCAAGACAGTGATGGATCAAGCACCCGAAGAATATCGTCGGTCGCACGTGCTGGATCCATTGAGAATTTTTTTTTTGTAATAATAGATAAATTTTTTGGATAATATATCCGGTAATTCATTTTGTTTTTGAACTTCTATTGTAACTCGGTTAGAGAATTTATTTTCAAATTTGAAGTCGTGAGATTAAATCTTTATCAAAGCAATTTATTCTGTAATTATTCTAATTCAACACTTTTTTACCAAAATTAGTGCTTAACCATCATTGCACTCGATGAATTTTGACACTAAATGTAACAAAATAATATATGTTCAGTTTTAGCAATTTTAATGCAATTTGGAAATATTTGAACATATGTTCTTCTTTTGAATATGCAAAATTTGGCCACTATATCATTTCGTGAATATTGACAATAAATATAATAAAATTATATATGTTCAATTTTAGCAAGGTTAACGATTGTCCTTCCTCACTCAAGATCCTGAATACGTCACTACCAGAGGCTTCTAATTTTATTTGTAAAACATGTTTTGAAATATAACAACCACAAGTTCTTGTTTGATCTTTCCAGTATTTAGAGTCATGGTCCACTAACATCTTTTTCACACTGATGTTTGGTGTCTTAGTCATGTAACCTGTATCGATGGATTTCGATATTACTTGTTTTCGTTGACTACTTCACTAAATTTGTTTAGTTTTTGCTTTATGTCTTAAATCGATGCATATGCTATTTTCTTAGTCGATGCACAAGTCAAAAATTAACTTTAACTTTAAAATTGTAACCTAACATTCTGATGATGGCGGTGATTTCATCGCTCTTAAATCAATGCTTGAACAATATAGTATAGTTGAGTGTGAGAGAGGTGAGACATATGTCTTGGTGGCGATGACGACGGCAACGGCCATGAGTGTGAGAGAGGGAAGACAAAAAGATTTTTTCAATTTAATTCCTTCTTCTCCTTGGCCAAGAAAATCATTACCTAGTTTTGAAGCGTCAATTTCTTTTGTGCAAAGTTTGAGTTGATCCGTCAAAAGTATATACTTAACTTTTACATAGATTTTTTCAATTTAATTCCTTCTTCTCCTTTTTTTTTTTTTTGAAATGGAATGGAAGACTCATTCATCATAACGAAGTTACATATATGACTTATCAATACAGGAAAACTCGACAATAAGTCAACCTATGAAAACAGCTCTGGAGCACCCCCGCACACAAAGTGATGGACATTGTCTTAACTTCTAAATCTCTCCGAAGAGAAAGAGACCACTCTAAACAAATAGAGTTGCGCGATTGCTATGGACTCTAAGTCCAAAAGCCAATTACAACACAAATACAAACAAAATAACAAAAGCTACAACACAAAACAACAACAAAATAGAAGGACCACAAGCACGGGCAAAAAGCCCCGACGGAACATCCACTACAAGCATCGGCAACGAGAACCCAGACGACACGACTACTCGGCTGGCGTACAGAACACCACAACCTCCACAGCGGAGGCTAGTCGTACTGGCCTATACTTTGTCCGCCACTCTCGACCTGCACTTGCCCCAGAATGCGACCGATCAAAAGTCTGATCGGAGCGACAAGAGATCTTAATTTACCAACATAATGTTTTTAGTAATCCTGATATAAAATTATATTACCCACAACACAAAGTCTTGAAGATTTATACTATTAGTTAAGAAGAATAAATATATGTTTTTAGCTTTAATTAGGACTCGTAATTCTATTTTAAATTATCAACTATATTAAGAGAAATAGTACAATTTTGTATATTTTTATTGAATGAATATTTAATCGATGTGAGATTAATCTGTTAACATGCCCTGTGAAATTGTGACTCTTTGAGAACATCAATTTTTGAAATATGCATGCTCGTTTAAATTTTGTAAAATTTATGATTTCATCTTAAGAGTTCAACTTTGCTTAACATTTTGCTTTTTAAGCCCATGTTTGGACAGTATTATTCCAAGAATGAAAATAATAAATTGTACCGTTGGAGCTCCAATTTACCAGAAAGTGTGAGATGCAAGTCAACAAAAGGGGCCAAGTGGGGCCCTTCAACGGTACAAATTTTTCTACAAATGAAGGAATAATGCCGTCCAAACGGAGGCTAAGAAAATGATTATAAAATTAGCCCGTATTTGATAAGAGTTTTTTGAGAACAAGTTGTGAATTTTTTTTAAAAAAATATGTGATTAAAAAATTTAATTGAAATGATGTATAATTAAGTTTTAAAAAATATAGGGGACAAACAGAAATTAATTCAGAATTGATTTTTCAACTAAAAAGAGAAGGTTATTATTTTGGACTTATTGAGAGACTGTTTGACAACATTATGGTAGAAAAAAAGAATTTTGAAGATTTATTTTTAGGAGAATACGTGATTAAAAGGTAGAGAATAATTTTTGATAGACGTGTAAAATATTTTATTATATGAATGTATGATTGAAAATAATATTGTAGTAAATCATATAATAAAATAATAAATATCAAACGGACACCGAAATTCATCGTGAGCTGCGTTTGAACAATCACGATCATATCTTTCGGCTGTCAATTTCAAATCTAGCAAGACAGCCCTCGAGTGGGAGTGATTAATTGAAAATCCCTGTTTTTTTCTTAGAAACATGTAGTTAAAATTAGAAACTATTAAAATATTTTTTTTGAAAAATGTGTATGAAAAAAAAAATTTTAATAATCACTTTCAAACAAGGGTAAAATTATGGTTAGTTGAGAATAAAATTTTGTCGTATTGAGAACTACGAAGAGATCAATTTTACGTAATAATTATTAGACTTGATGGTTATACTTGTATCTCATTCTTTAAAAACTATTTTTTCTACGTACTCATTTTCAACCACACATTCACAAAATAAAATACTCTACACATAAATCAAAAAAAAAAATTCTATTTTTTACCACACATTCTAAAAAAAAT